GTCCCTCCTCACATCCAGTGGCGGGATTCCAGCAGCAGGTGGGGCCGGGTAGTAGAGCCCCGGCACTGCAAATGCCTGTGTGATCGTGTCTGCAGAGGTCACTGGAGAGGGAGATGGGGACCTGGGGCAGGTCAGGGTGCCACTGGAAACTTCTGGAGACCTGGGCAGGAATTACTCTTTGCCTGTTGCCCCATGACCCTGAGTTCTCACCTGCCCTTTCTCAGCTGCCCTAGGGCAACAGGTGTGAGCTCCTGGCCCTTTCCAGGCTCACTCACCCAGAGCCTGGGACACTGTGGTGCTGGTGAACGTGACTGAGCAACATGGAGCTTCAGACAGAAGTCCCTTCTCCTCCCTCCAGGCAGAGAGCAACCATTTCCCCAAGGCTTGGGCTCAGCCACCCCCCAGCTGCCAGAGTTGGGATAGAGAGAGTGCGCCTCCTGAGTGACACTTGTCCCCTTTCCTTCAACCTTGATCCAATGGGCAACCTGTGCCAAGGTATGGTCTGTCCCTGACCTCAGTTTCCCCACGTGTGAGACAATAGGCTCTGAGGGATCACTTCTATGTAATCTTCATAGCAGGGGCAGCCTTCTTGCTAAGATCCCCACAGTCCTGCCTGGGTCAGGCCTCTGTAGCTCCCAGCTCTGCCGGCCTGTCATCATCCCACAACTGTACTGAGGACCGCTCCCTTCCCCATTGGAGTGGAGCTCACACGCCACCCAGTGGAACACTCGGGAACTGACCCGAGCTCTTCCTGAACCGGTTTCCCACCTCAGTAGGGCATTCAAATTATGTCACCTTAAAAAGACTCAACTCTGCAGCAAGAAATAGTTCCATGGAGCGCCGCCTGTGACTCAGTGAGTAGGGCGCCAGCCCCATATACCGAAGGTGGCGGGTTCAAACCTGGCCCTGGTCAAACTGCAACAACAAAAAAACAGCTGGGCATTGTGGGGAGCGCCTGAGTCCAGCTACTCCGGAGGCTGAGGCCAGAGAATCAGCTAAGCCCAAGAGCTGGAGGTTGCTGTGAGCTGTGATGCCGTAGCACTCTACCGAGGGCGACAAAGTAAGACTCTGTCTCTACAAAAAAGAGAAATAGTTCCATGATCTTAGTGGTGGTGGGATTGTTTAATCTCATGCCTGAAAGAATGTTACCTTGTAGGTTCCTACCTGGTTTCATGAGGCAGGTCAGTAATGAACATACTTCTTCGGCTCTTAAACCTACAGCAGACACTTCTACATATCCCGCTCAACTGCACCTTGGCATCAACCCACTTTAGTCACCTAGGGCTGCCTTAACAAAATACCACAGAAGAGAAATAAACAACAGAAGTTTATTTCTTACAGTTCTGGAGGATGAAAGCCCAAGATCAAAGCACCAGCCAATTTGGTTCCTGGTGAGGGCTCTCTTCCGGTCCTACAGATGGCCTCCTACTCCCAGGTCCTCTTATAAGGGCACCAGCCCTATTGCATTAGGGCCTCATTCTTATGACCTCATTTAACAGTAATTATCTCCTAAAAATCCTATCTTCAAATACAGTTACTTTGGGGAATGGGGCTTCAGCAGATGAATTTTGGGGGTGAAACGTACTGTCTATAGTACCCACCTCAACATAGCTCCACCTTGGAATAACTACATCTTAATTATCCCTTGCCATATCTAAACCTTTGTGTAAATGCACCTTGACATCGCTACATCTTGTTGTAATTATACCTGATCTAATTGTACCTTGATGTTAACCTAACCTTGGCCTAACCTCTTGGCAAAGTGATGCAACTCACTTTGACATAACTACTTCTTGACATAATGGCTCACGAATTCCAGTATATGGACAAAAATTTGAGTCTTGCAGCAGTGACATGACTTTCCAGAGTTGGCAAGTCTGCTTTTCTAGAAAGAAGCAGAAACAGCCTCCTCCACACTTTCCTGTGGCAACAAAGGAGAAGGCAGAAATTCGTGTCACAGAAGGGTCAGAGACTAAAACCACATGTTTAATTAAACAACCCAGAGCTACCAGGAAAGTGGGAAGACAGAGTGCTTCAAGGATGGTAAGCATTCCTGGGATGGTGTTTTGCACATTTCCATAAATGAGGCCGTATTTCTTTGTTTCCTATGTTTTGAAAATGTCTCCTTATAGCTAAGGGCCAATACAAGGAAGAAAACATGGAGAAACCTGGGGTTGGCATTTAAGAGGGTATGATCTAAGCCTTGGTTGCACCGTGTTCTGGATGTGAAATCTGGACCATTTCCTTACCTGTGAGGTTGAGGATGTGATGCCTCTGAGGAATGGCCATGACTGAGCACAGGAGGCAGTGTCATTGTGCAGAACAGGGCTGGGGAGAGAAGACTAGGGTAAGGGGGTGGGGGGGTGGGGGAGAGCTCTGCAGGAGTACGGAGGGGAGGGTGTGCCAGAATTGCCTCACCTGGCTTGGATCCCCCAAGAGGCATGGCAGGAGCAGGCATAGGATAAGGAACTCGGGAAGTGAGCTAAATGCAGCATGAAGAACAGAGCCGTGTCACCCTCCAGGGGGTGGAGACCCCAGATGTGACACAGAAACCAGTGTGTTTCCTGGATATCCCTAGCAGATAAGTTAGATCAGAAGAGGCTTCTAGGTGGGGTCTTGACTCAACCCAGGTATTTTGCCACTAACTTTCTTTGATAAAATACACACACAAGAGATAGAGGGGGTTATAATCCTGCTCCACACCTATACACAGAGATTCACCCCAACGCAATGCAGTCCTGGTCCACTGTATCCCTGAAAGTTCCTGGTGGTGAGGCCTCTGCAGGGGAAGTGGTCCAGCATCACCATGGAAATGCCACACCCTCCCCCAGCCCAGGAAGGGGTGGGAGGTGACAGACAGGTGCTGGGTCAGGAATCAGGATTGGCTAGAGGCACATGCAGCCCTGGAGATGACTGATAGAGGGACAAAGAGGCTCAGGGTAAGGGGACTTGTCACCTGCTGGTGTCCTGGGGAGGACTAGGCCCTTCTGATTGAGTCTAGCAGCATGACTTGGGATCTGAGATACACAGGTTTGGGGGAGAAACTGACGATGCTCCCTTAGAGTCCCTCCTGTTGAACCCGAGCTCATGTGTGACTCTGAGTCTAGCATCTGCTTTTCCCTGAGATGTGCTTCCCTCAAATTACTAACCCGAAGGTCAGTGATGAATTCTAGGGCCAGAGAAGAGGCAGCCGGTCCAGCTGTGGCCAACCCCAGAGGTTCAGATGTTTGTTTTTAAAATTTTGGGACTTTCAGCCAAACCAGCCCTACTGAAGTAGAAACGACAGCACAAGCCTGAGGCCCCAGAGACAAACTTGACCTCCATTCTCTGCTGCCCCAGCAGCAGGGCGGGTGAGCTGGGTTTCCATCGTCAGGGAATGTAGGTTGTCAGAACTACAAGGGGTGGATACACTGTTGACAGGAGCTAGAAAGTGATGGCCAGTGCAAGCTGCTAACAAGATAAAGGCGACCAATTTAAGCGGTTTTACTGTACAAATGACTTTTATTTGTATATGGCTATTTGGTAAATATTAAACAGTGATGACCCCAGACAGCTGCCAGGCAAGAAAATAAGAGACAAGAGACACATGGTGGCTTTTCAAGATAGCAAGGCGAGTAGAAAGCGAGCGGTTAAACAACGGTGAAGCCAGTTTTCTTTCCAGTGATTCCCACAGTCCCCCCTCCCTAGGAGCAGAAAGCAGTTGATATAAAACTGTAAGCACTAGAATCAGTTAAAATAAGTCCCTTTGATGTCATCGTTTATTTCATTTCAAACAACAGTGGCGCCTGGAGTTATGGGGCTGTGCTCTGCTTGCCTGGGTCCGTAGAGGGGTGCAGATTTCCTTTGAAAAACATTTTCTTTGAAACCAAACATCTCAATTTGGCATTTCTGTGTGCACAGCACCAGCCTTTTCTTTATGAATGGGCCCAAAGCGCAAATGCCTGTGCACATCGAGGGCCTTTCGAGCCCAGCTGAGGACCTTGGTCCCCACCCAGAGAGCAGTGCCACTGGTCCCCAAGGCCTTGAGCCAAGTGTCACTTAAGCAGATCCAAGAGGAGAGTGAGTGTGCACACAGCAGTACAGTCCCCAGGATGGGATCCTCGCGCTGTCCCCTGAGACCGCGCAACAGCTTCGTCCTCCCATGTGGTTGTGGAGCACCTGTGGATGTAACATCCCAGACTCCTTCACTGAGGGTCTGTTCTGAGGGACAGGACGGCTTCTAGTCCTTAGGTGGTGGGGTCCTGGAGCCTGGCACTGGCGCAGCAGCTGCACAGCTCTCAGAGGCCTGACTCATGGAGAAGCACTCCCCTCTCCCCAGCTCTCGCTGTATAATGATTTTGTAGAGTCAGTCATTTATTTTCCTCACAAATCTGCCCTCCAAGCTGGTTTTCTGCAGATTTTCCTTGGACCTCAATGACTGGGAGGAAGGCGGAGGAGAAACAGGCAGGAAGGTGGGCAGCATAGCTTGCCCCTGTCAGCTTCCTGAGGGACTTGGGGCCTCCAGGCTGCAGCAGAGGCAGAACCGAGGACAGCAAGGAGGTCTGCACATCTGCATTGGATCTGAAGGCCTTGATAGCACCTTTTCCATTTTAAGAAAATCAGACTGAATATTGCCCTGAATCTCCTATAGGGAAGCCCATGGCTGAGGCAAAATCTCCCAATAGACGTGGCAACAGTGGAGCTGGGACGCTCAACAGGAAGGGGTTCAATGTGAATTTTCTAGAAGGGCTACCATGGTCAGATAATTCCAAGTGACAGTTGCTTTCCAGGGAAAAGAAAGTAATAGCTTTGTCATATTTATCATAGTGGATTAATATGTCCAAACAAATGTGCCAAAATGTGGTATCATCACTCAGCCTGGAAAGATGGTCTGTGAATCCCATGGCTATTTCAGCAGATCTTCCATTCATCATTCAGAAGGCAGATGTCAAAAGCCGCTTGGGGGGCTGATAATCCAGCTTCAGACGGGCACTTCTCCCTCGGCGTGGCTCCCTACTGCATCAGTGGTAGTAGATGCTGAAGGCATGGAGGATGTAGAGCAGTGCCGTGATGAAGGCAAAGAACTGGAAGGAGGTGGAGAGTGATAGTTAGAGACGGCCAGCAGCTGCTCAGCCTCCGAGCCCCAGGGAGCCACGTGTTCTGTCTGACCCTGCCTCCGCCCCCTGCCTGGCCAGTGATACCCTCCTCCTGGAAGCTGTCCTTTCCACGTCATCCCTGTGATGTCTTCTTATCCTGCCCTGACCACGCTGTCTGTCCCAATTGCCTCTAACCTGGCCTGGGCCCTCATCCCATGTTGACCTCCTGCCCACTGCCTGCTGTCCTCTGCCATCTCCTGCTATTGCACTATGAGCCTTCTGTGAATGCTCAGGCACCCCTCAAGCTCCTGAACTGTCATCTCTCCACAAGCCTCACAAGCTCAGTGACCCCCAGATCCTCATCTCATCCAGCTACCCACGCCAGGCACCTGTGGACCCCTACCTCCCTTCCCCTGTCTGTGGGGTCCAAAGTTCCCCAAAGCCTAGTGTTTTACTGCCTAGCCATTTCTGGGGACAGCCACTCTCCTTCGTCCTGGCCACCAGCACTTCTCATGACCTCACTCCTGCCTGCTCTGCCATCCCTAACCTGCCCACAGGGTGGACGCCAGCATGATGTTCCTGTGTTGAAGCCCATGGTAGCCTCCTCCTTCCTCAGGAAGGGACTGTCACACTTAACTTGCCTTCCAGGCCCCCAAATTGCTGCAGCTCACTCTGCCCTGCTGCTCACATACTCTCTTCTCATCCATTCATTCATTCATTCATCCACTCCACAAACATCGCTGAACACCTGCTGTACTCCAGGAACAACTTTGGCTGTAACAGCAAAGTGTTCAAACCTTTCTGCACCCATGAGGCTTACATTTGAGTGGTAAGAAGCAGAAAATAACCAGAATGAACAAGTAGAGCATATCCAGGTTAGATGGGGATAAGAGCCAGGAGAGAATGAGGCCGATAAAGGGTAAAGGGAATGCCAGTAGGGGTGGGGACCAGGGAAGGCAGCCCTGAGGACAGGAGGAGACAAGGAGCTGGCACACAGGCCCTGGGGCACAGGCTTTCCTGCCAAGGGTCCAGGTTAGCAAGGAAGCCAGTGCAGCTGGGGCAGCTGACCTGGGGCCAGTAGCAGGAAAGGGCCTTACTGTGGATCCGCCAGGCCACGGAGTTACTGGCATTGTTTGTTTAGGAAGTTAATCTAACCTGGTGAGGAGGGATGGGAGGCAGGCAGGCTATAGGGTGGCTGAAATATCTGTAGCCACCTGGAGGGTCACAGTGCTTGCCTAGACCCCCATTCTCACCCTGAGAGTACCCCACATGCATCCCTTCCTCCCTCAGTGGCCACGTGATCTCTGCAGGAGCCACAAGGTTGACAAAGGACTTTCTGGCCTCAGTGACATGTCTAGGGGTAGGCATGGACTTAGGCTTGGTGTTAGAGTCCTTGGTGGGGAATGTTTAAGGTAGGATTAAGGAAGAGGGTCAAGCCACTGTGGAGGAGGATCCGTGCTCCCTGACACACGAGCCACACCCCACAGGGGGAGGACTGGTGTGCTGGGGGAGAGGAGGAGGGGTCCCGCAGTCCCAAGACCTCCCTTCATCCTGCTGGATGGTCTCACTTTAGGGTCTATCAGAGCCAACATACTACCCTGGAGGGCTTCTGTCATTGACATGAGAGGACACTGGAACAGTTCAGCCACAGGCGGTGGGAGCCATCAGAGGATTTTTAGCAAGAGAGAACAACATGCTCCAATTTGTGTTTTGGAAAAAAAAATGTTCTGCAAACAACGTGGTGGGTGTGAGCGGAAGCAGGGCTGACTGAGGTGGGAGGAACGGGGTGGGAGAGGACCCTGACACGGTGCGGGTGTTCACATACCCCCTTCCCCCAGCCCCCACAGCTCCTTGGTATGGGACACGGGCCAGCCCTACCACACGCATGATGCAGAATTACGTGTCCTAGTCAATGCCCTTCAGTGACAGTGGCTGGCGGGGTTGCTACCCACTCACCGAGGCTGCTGTGTTGATGTAGTAGTTGTTCAGGGCCTGGGTCTCAGAAATGATGGTGGCGTGTACTTGCAAGACAGCAGCGCTCATGTACAGGATGCCGGTGGTCCCATGGTATAGACTGTCCTGGAAACCCAGAGCAGAGGCCAGCCACAGCCACCGTCACTTAGGTGACCACTTTTCTCCCTGACTACACAGCTGGGAAGAGTGAGAAAAGGGGCCTGGCCACACTCCCATCTCCGGCTGTCTTTCTGTAGTGTTTGTTATGGAATATCTATGTAGCAAACCACAGCGGATTCATAAATAGCGATAACGGTGTCAATAGCGGCTAACATTCATGGCAAACTCCATGCCACGCCCTTTTCTCATTCGTCCCATTTAACCTTGTCCACTGTGAGGTAGGTATTATTTATTACTAGCCTTGTTTTGAGTCAGTGGAAGCTGGAGGTTAAGACCAATGAATAAATAGGATTTGAACCCTGGTCTCATTAACTCCACGCCTATCCTCTTAGCCAGTGGCATTATCAAGACCCACTCTGTGCCAGGCACTGTCCTATCTCACTTCGCTTTCCAGCTAATTTCTTTTTTTTTGAGACAGAGCCTCAAGCTGTCCCCCTG